ATGTTGCTGTGATGCTAACGTGGCATGTTACTAACATAGCATGTTACTAATATAGCATGTTGCTAACGTAGTGTGTTGCTTACGTAGCATGTTGATAACGTAGAATGTTGCGGTGTTGCTAACGTGGCATGTTGCTCGTTGTTGTCTGACTCCACATGTGAAACCTCCAGGCGACTCCTCCGTCTGTTCATGGCGGCTGCCTGTATATGAATAACTGGTTAGCTCGGCACTCATTCCCACCAGTCTTTTAGGTGCGGAGATTTTTTAAGGGTAGACGTGGAAATGCTTACTTGACGAGGCAGCTCATATGTTTCATTAAGAAACATGTTTCATATGTCACATTAAGAAACTTGTAAGTGGCTATTGTGTTTAAAATTAGTGTTTACGTAATTATTTGCAGTTTACATATCCAATATTGGTTTTATTAGTTCAAGGCTGTCCAATTTGTTCATAACTTTATTATTAGTAAGCCTGAAAGTTACCGGTTCCAAGCAAACAGTTGTCAAAATAGGCGACTTCCCAGATCCTCCCGCAGGATCCGGCTCAACTTAAGCACTGATTTTTCAGCTTCTTTCTGTTAAATTCAATTGTTTTCTGCTAATTTTAAAAATGTTCTGTTATTCTTTTGCTAATTTCTGCCTTTGTGGTTCTTTTGAATAATTTCAACTTTTTTATGCTCTTGGGCCAATTTCTGCTCATTTCAGTTTGAACTTCTGTTTCAAAAAACGTTCAATACAAAAACAACTGGATTTGTGTTTGTTTATTTTTGTTCATTTCCGATTTTTTTGTAATCTTTTCAGCAGTGCTTAATTTGTAAATCAAACAATGCTGGAATGCAAATGGGGAATGGGGGTCCTCCCCTAGAAAATTCTGAATAAAATAGACACCATTTCCTGCATTCTGGTGTATTTTAACGGGTTGTTAAACATCTACGTTTACCTTCATAAGTAAACATTTGATTCAATAACTATTTTAGAGAATAACAAGAAATAGCCTGACCAACAGCTCTCTCCTTATTAGAGCATGCTCCGCTTCTCTCAAGCATTCTAACCTCGCTCCCCCAGGGGCGAAATTTTTTTAAGGGTAGAAGTGGAAATGCTTACTTGAAGAGGCAACTCTTATGTAACAATAAGAAGCTCATAAGTGACTGTTGTGTTTAAAATGAGTGTTTATATAATTATATTCAGATTACATGTCCAATATAAGTTTTATTAGTTCAGTCAAATTTGTTTATAACTTTATTATTAGTAAGCCTGAGAGTTGCCAGATCCAAGCAAACAGTTACCGAAACGCACCCTGTCAAAATAAGAGTTCCCAGATCCCGTTCCAGCAGGATCCAACTCAAATTAAGCCCTACTTTCCAGCGTCTCTCTGCCTATTTCAACTTATGCTGTCAATTCTACTCTGTTCAGCTTTTTCTACACATTTCAGCTGCTTTTTCTCAACTTTTCACTATATTTTAGCAGTAAGCATTCTGCTTTTTTTTTTTTTTACAGGAAAAGACATTTCTCTAGTTTTAATCATTTCAGGAACATTTTCCAGATGAATGGTATCACGGTTCTAAGAGCTCAGTTTGTTTGGATTCTCACGTCAAGGCTTAAAAACACATCTCAGCGTTCATAAAGCTTGTGTCACTGCCGAAAAGAATGTGACCTTTGACCTTTCCTGCGGTTGCTGCTGATAAAACAGGACAGTGAGTACCGAGTGGGACTAAAGATGAAGAATTGGACTCCGTCTGCTTCCAATTTGTTCGTCTGCAGTTCACACCACCGTCAGCCGTTACCAAGAT